ATCTGAACAATAAAGTCACCGTGATCGAAGAGGTTAACTGTAGCGCATATTTTAAAACTTGTATCACGGTTCAAGTAAAAAGGGTTCATTTAGCGTAACATTATATAAAAATACGTTAACGAGAAATAAATCTATGAAGATGTTCATACCCGACAAATTCTATTACTACTTGAAATATATGTGGAATGATCGTGGTAAACCATTGTATACGAAAATTCGGGTTTACAGAGCTGTTGTACTTGCCATCCTTTTGTATGGCTCAGAGTCATGAACTCCATACAGGTACCATATACGCCAGCTTGATGTTTTCCATAAAAGCTGTCTGCGTGCAATCTGTGGAGTTAAGCTTCAAGATAGGACATTAACGTAGACCTGTTTAACATGTGTAATATCGTAGGAATCGAGACTTTTATCATACAGTCTCAGTTACGGTGGACTGGTCATTTCTTGAGAATGTTTGATGACAGGATACCCAAGATCCTAATGTACAGCCAGTTATATAAGGGCTACACGAATGTAGGGCGCCATGGCTAAGATACAAAGACAAGCTGAAAAGCAACTTGTCAGCAGTCAATATACCACATAACACCCTTGAGCGCTTAGCCTTGGAGCGAGTAGAATGGAGATCAACGTATTTTAGTGGACTCAGCAATTTTCAGTCTGCTTGTCTGAATCATCTTCAAGAAGCGAGAGCAAGATCTAAAAGGTCAGCCAATCTAACAGCGACCTCATTTCACAATCCTCACACTTGCTCCATATGTAGCCTCCTTTGTAAATCACTAGCGGGTCTTAAATGCCACTTAAGATTATCGCATAAACTTTCATAACTGAATCAAAAGATGTCAGATCCTCATACGAAGAAACCGACAGGAGATTCCATATATATATATATATATATATATATATATATATATATATATATATATATATATATATGTCTGTATGTATAAAGTAAATTAGTAAAATTAATGATATAAAATGGCGAATTAAATTTTAAAGATGCATTAACCTTCTAATCGATCGATGAATGTTATGATCGTTGTTTTACTTTAAAAAAAAAAAAATTCTATCTTAGCGTTGCCACTGCATGCTCCAAAAGTTTGTATCCGTTATCAATAAAGCATTTAAAAATATTTCGATTCGCATTATATCTTTTCGTCTCGGATGCTACCTGAATTTTACCAAAAACAAAATAAGTTCCATGCCTGATGATGAAATTACTTGCGTATTTAAGAAAGACCTCACACAACTTCTAAATTTAAAAAAAAAAAAAACAAGGATCATAATATTCATCAAGGGATTAGTATGTTAATGCATCTTCAAAATTTTGTTGGCGAAGGGAATTCGCCATTTTATATCATTAACATTACTAATTTACTTTTTGTATGAATCATTCATTGTAATATATATATATATATATATATATATATATATATATATATATATATATACGAGACGCGGAAGTATATAGGAGTTTGTAGTTACTTGGAAATTTCTCATGCAGCAAGGGGGTACTATCATTGTTGTTTCGTCCGTGTGTTGTTTGATTTATTGAAATTGTCATTTTTGATAATGGCTTATGTAAGCCAAAAGCTTAGATTGGATTTAAACATGTATCAATATGGTGATTTCCTTTCGTCCTTCAATGATAATGTCATTAAGGTTATCAGGCAATATGAAAGGAACTAAATAGACAAAACTTGTTTATATTATTTAATGAAACGTGCATCAATGAAAAATTGCTGCCTAAACATATAGATATATATACAATATATATATATATATACAATATATATATATATATATATATATATATATATATATATAAATATATAAAAGCAACGAAACTCATTCTTCTGCGTTATAAGTAAACTTTTTTGTCCAATGCTACTTTGAAAGTTCCGCTGTAAAATAAAATAAAATAAAAATAAGCAGCGAAAATAAATGATGTACATGTGTGTAGGGGGGGGGTAAATACGTATTTACTTTTCAGTTTGGCCGTTTATAATTATTTTAATCTTCGTTTTATAGTTTGTTTTTTGTTTTTCTTTTACAACGATTTATTTTTTATTATCGTTCATTACCAACTTTACGTTGATTATTCTATTCAGTAACCTTACCTTGGCTACAACAGATACAAAAATCAAAAAAGTAATAGAATTTGAATATCTGAGAATTGTCTTTAACAGATGACGGCAAAGTGCGTCACTGAAGGCGCAATGAGATAGCGAAAGATGACTTCTCAAATCTAAGCAATGTATTTAGAAACAGAAAAAAACTTTACGTAATATTAGTCCTCCTATATGACAGTGAATGCATATTCGACAATCTCATGAAGAGTGACGGTACAACGGAGAAGAAGATGAAAAAAAGAAGAAGAAGAAGAAGAAAAAGAAGATGAAAAAGAAGGAGAAGAAGTCTTTGCATTAAATTTCTAAAAATATTTTATTGTAACAATTCCTCTCCTGCTTTAATGAACATTGTATCCGACTGTCTGACATTCAAATATGGACAAAGAAATAGTGTGTCCAAATACTAGTTCTTACAACAAATATATTAACATGCCCGTGAGGTCTAAGTTCAAATTGATATATTCCTCTTCTTCAGCATCTATGTTCCACGTCTTTTCAGGATATTGGCTCTCCACAATTTCCTGTTCCTTGTGATTATTAGCAGTTATTCCCCATTGCTAAAGTTTCCGTCCGCCCAGTCGCACAAGCCCGCAAGCATTTTTACAAGAATCCATTATTTAAAAAAAAAAAAGATTAAAAATAATGGAAGCCTTAATAATAAAAAAAGCCAACACTTAACAATATTAACTACGAACACGGACACAATGTGCTGTATTCAGAAAATAAAACATCTCTATAACACTAAAACCATATACAAAACGCACACACTCAAACTGAATAAATAAAATCATCCTTGATAATGGCTAAAAGTATATCCGAAAGCGCTCGCTATTATAGAACAATTGGACAGTTGCTGCACACTTTGTATTCAAAAAAAGATAACAGTTGTTCGAACACAAGAAAAATTAAATAAAAAGCTTATTCTTAGTACGTTTTCTGTTATTTTTAATGAAACATATATATATATATATATATATATATATATATATATATATATATATATATATATATATATAATCCTATAAACGAAATTCGTTTCCTTAAAATACTATCTAGTGAATAATCTTCTCGCGGGTATTAGGAATTCGTTTTCAAGCAACGATATATCTACACTGTCAACGTAATACAATATAGCGTATCACTCTTTGCATGAATCTATTTAATCTCGGTGAAAACGAAGAATTTTTCGGATAAATAATCGAATCAGAACCGTAATTAATTCTTTTATGCCAGTATATACACAATTTAGCTGAAAATGGCGCAAAGTCATACTTATTTAGTGTACGCCGACTAAATAACGACACTTGTAATTCATTTATACTATACTGATGCGATTACTTCCTATTTTGATTTCCTGTTAACGCAAACCAAAAATGACATTCCTTAGCTGCATTTCTGCTTAAAGAATGTCTTATTCTTCAAACAAAGATAATTTTTATGGAATGGCAATGCTTTTGATAAGGAGGGTTACTAATTTTGCATCCAAAACATGATGACTGTGACATTAATATCATCATATAATAAACGATATCTATTACATAGGTAGAGACGTGAGACAATCTCGCCGTATTTATGGAAGCTATTCCATCATGAAGATCAAAAATTAAATAAAGATAACTTATTCTTTAAGAAAGGTCTTATATGGAAATATTTGCATTATCGGATATTAATAGTTCATGTAGAAGGAATAATATCAAAACAGTTTAAGAAGCACTTACATATATATATATATATATATATATATATATATAAATTGAACATTGAAGTAAACACTTAGAGGCGATAGTCTGTTTCCTGCTAGACGCAATCGTCAGGCCAAGTTGACTTCAATGTTCACTCTTATATTTACACACGCTCTATCTCTGATATTGAGCACTTTATCCCATAAATGTAGTACATCTTAAGACTATATTACTTTATATATATATATATATATATATATATATATAAAATCACCCTGTATATATATATATATATATATATATATATATATATATATATATCTATATATATATGTCTATATACAATGTAACCCGGATATAAGAGAGTTGTCAGGACCGGAGAAGAAGTCTCTTATATACGGGTTTCTCTATATCCGGGTTTGGTCTATTTTGTTTACATTAACACAGGCTCTAATTTGGGACCAGAGACAATCTCTCTCTTATATCCGGGTTTCTCTTATATCCGGGTTTCTCTTATATCCGGGTCTCTTATATCCGGGTTACACTGTATATATGTCTATATATATATATATATATATGTAATTATATTTCTTCATATATATATATATATATATATATATATATGAAGAAATATAGTTTAAGGTTTGATATATTTATGGAATAAAATGCTCAGTATCAGAGATAGAGCGTATGTAAATATAAAAGTGGACATTGAATTCAACTTTCAGAGTTGACAGGCTGTTTTCATGCTAGAACCGGTAGCTGGGCATTTAGTCTCTTTTCTCTACTTCTGTTCAAGCGGTGGCTGGTCATTAAGTGATTTTTCACTACCACCGGTAAAGCGGTGATCAGGGCTCAATGGGTTAAGTAAAGAAAGTTTGTAGTCCCTTTTCTTAAGGCTACTGGAACGTATAAAACTTAAGAATGATTTGTATTTTACGGTTTATCAACCTTATGCAGATTATTTGAAGCAAGGAAATATTTTTAGATTGTAAGTTATTTTTGGTAAAATAATAACTATTTTCTTTATACAACTGCTACGAATTAACCTAATACCTGGATGAGGAGAAGAAATGTATTCTATTTTCCTCAATGGTATTTGTTTGTATATGAATATAACGAAAGCGACTGGAATTAGAACTATGCTCTCCGAGACCTTATCCATGACACCGCCAATACATCCAAGATTACCGCACCCGGTATTCCTAAGCAGTCACCCATCTATATACTAGCCAGCCTCGATGTTGCTTAACTTCGGTGATTGTACGGGGACCGGTGTTTCAACGTGATATGGCTGTAAACATATATACCCTTGGATGGTCGAAGAATATATAAGCTTTTGATAGAACAATAAAATCAACATTAAGAATGAATTAATTTTGGGTCAGTCTATTGGAGATTAATTACATTCTTTCAAAATCAATCTCTCACAAAAGAAGTTTTCATAAAGGATAATATCCACTGCCCACCGCTCAAAAGTTTAGCATAAACGACCCCCATATATAAAGACACGCCCAACTAGTAACTAATTCCCAGGTATAAAAATCTGGAAATATACCATCTTCAACATCATCGCTACTCTAAAGAAAATGGCATAATATTTTGATATATTGATAATATCGGAAAAATTATTATTAGTTATATTATTTTATAACTTTTATCTTTTCGCAGTAGATAATGTAGTATTAGTTCGACCAAGAAATTTTCTCAATAGATAACGTAGTATTAGTTCGACCTAGAAATCTCCTCAATAGTAATATCAAATATGTTATTTCCTCTGGTTGAAATAGGGATATGAAGGTTGGGTAGCGACTATTGATGCAGTAATTAGAATCTGTGAGCTGTGTGCAAATCATTTCGTCTGCTATGTTCTCTTTCGCACAAATATCGTTAGGAAAGGCACGAATCCAGAGCTTCCCTGCCAGCTATGGAATTAAATATCCTAGTAAACTCTGAATTTAAAAACTGTAAAGAATGCAACGGAGAAGTACCCAACTATCTTTTCGGAGAGTTTCACAGATAATAAAGAAAATGAAACTGGTGTGAGAGAGAGAGAGAGAGAGAGAGAGAGAGAGAGAGAGAGAGCATCGCTCAGGTCCTCTAGGGGCACGGCGTTAAAAATGTCTGGAATATTAAACGCCTGCACTAGCTACTGTTAGTCTACGTTGTGTATTTCATATGATTTTTTAAAAGTTATGTTGCATTAACATTGGCGGTGTCTCTCTTTCACAATTTCTCACTCTTCCTCCGAGAGGATGATTCCTCTCTAACGGTTTACCTCGAAAGAAGAAATAAAAACTGCGCATATTAGGATTTTGTATAATGAACAGTGGAGACATGGAGAGACATTACCAACGAGAAACAAAAATAATTGCGATACAATCCATTTTTAATTAAAATTCCCACCCAAATGTCGAGTGTGACAAGTGTCATCAATGATTTGGAGAAAGCATCTTCTGACAAGTAATGGATTTTATTAACGGCATTCAACTTTCTGTGTTTACGATAGAACAGTTTGAAATGGTTGAGCTAAAACCGGACAACGAGATTGTTTTCATGGTATGCGAACATTTTTATTTGATTTTCATTGAAACAACTAATAAAGAAATGCACAAATAAACAGAGAAATAATTGTGTTTCAATTTTCCTGTCTGTTTCGGGACAAGAAATTGCGACTGAATTAAATAAAAAACATTCTCTACTGCTTGATATGAGACTCTATAGAAAGATAAAAGAATGAAAAAGGAAGGAATAAACACATCTTTTAACAAATGTAGCGTAATATTACAAGGAAAATAAAAAATGAAGTCAGAGAAAATAATAGTGAATAATAATAATAATAAGAAGAAGAAGAATAAGAAGAAGAAGACGAAGAAGAAGAAGTAGGAGAAGAAGAAGAATCACATCTTGATATGCTGTGCGCGAATTCAGATGTTGATAGGCTGTACGTAGCAAGAGCTTTGGGAGACCGAGGTCTAATCCAACTTGAACTAACTCTAAAAGCTAAAACAATCGGATTGGAAACATACCCAAAACAAAAACCAATGACTCTTTCCTACAAATAGTAAAACGCCAAATCTACCCCAGCAACAAAGAAGCTGCTCTCTTCAAGATACAGTTTAATCTACCTCAAATCCTACCAACAAAATCAAAACGAATACCATCTAAGCCAAATAAGTAAAACAGAAAGCAAAACAACTTGGTCAATGAAAAAAAAATGGCGTTGCATCGCAAATGCCTAAAAATAACAAAAGGATCAGATGTGGACCAATAGCAAACAGATCAGTGGATGAGGATCACCGGGTTGAAAGCTGAGTCAGACGGTCTAATTATTACGGCTCAGGACCAACGCCTTGCAACCAGTATCTTTAACATTTTGGGGATTTTACAATACACAAAAACAGCGCAATCAAAGGTAATTGCCCAAACACAGGTATCAAAGTACACAAGATCAAAATTATCATTCTTATGTGTATGGCACCTCCTGTAGGTTGAAATGTATATTTGAATATTAAAAAAAAAACTACCAATATATAAGGATCTTGATGTAGAAATCTCAAAAATGTGACAAATAAAGACATCAGTAATTCTAGTTGTGGTTGGGGATCTCCCTGGGTTTGATTGTAAAATGTTCTGATAGACTCATTGAAGGGATATCTTGTAGCCCAAGTCTTAAAGAAATAAAAAAAAATGTACGGATAAGTAGAGCTCGCACCTTACGAAATGCTTTAACTATCTACAATATGTGTGATTTCAGTTCTCTTTTCTTTTTTTCCCAAAAGATGCTCAGTGGAAAATATCATGATGCCATTTCTGACCTTAGGTCTCTGGTTGGGACACTGAAAGAAATGTGTATACACCAGAAATCAAAAGAATAATAATAATAATAATAATAATAATAATAATAATAAAGCCCTTGAACAGATGAAACAACGCTGGCAAGACAAACCTCTGCATGGCCAATATCCAGAACGTGCAAATAAACCCAATGTTGATAAAGTTAATACTCATCGATGGTTACGAGCATCTGGATTAAAGTCTGAAACTGAAGGCTTTATTCTTGCAGCGCAAGACCAGAGTCTTTTCACTAGGAATTTTCAGGCAAATATCATACATAATAATGTGGATCCAAAATGCAGGTTCTGTGACAAATACCAAGAAACAATAGACCATCTAATCTCAGGATGTTCTATACTTGCCCCAAATGAATATAAAAATCGTCACGATAGAGTGGGGCAATACTTACACTGGACAATGTGCAAACACTTTGGAAAATGTGTAAGCAAACACTGGTATGAACATCGGCCAGCGCCGGTTACAGAAATAGAAGATGTCACCATTCTGTGGGATTATACCATCCACACAGACACAGAAAAATTGAAGCAAATAGGCCGGACATTATTGTCAAAAACCAGAAAGAAAAAAACTTGCCTACTAATTGATATGGCTTGTCCAGCGGATTGTAACATAGCAACCAAGGAATTTGAAAAACTATCAAAATACAAAGACCTGGAAATTGAAATAGAAAAAATGTGGAAATTGAAAACAAGAATAATACCAGTGGTAATAGGTGCACTTGGAATTATAAAAAAAATGGAACAAAACAACACATTGAAAGAATCCCTGGAAACCCCAGCTTAAGAGACATACAGAAAATTGTCTTATTAAGTACAGCACACACACTAAGGAGAACTTTGTCTATGTAACGCTAGCAACTTCATCGGAGATAAAAAAAAAAAAAAAAAAAAATTAACATGAAATGTGGCCATAACAACACACCACGACCTGCCTTAGGTCTTTCCGCAGACTTGGTAGGTAGTGTGTCCATAGCAGAAATCGAATGATGATGATGATGACAATAATAATAATAATAATACAAACATGACTGAATGTATGATGCACAACAAAAAAATTAGATAAAAGATTCAATAGCCATAGGTATGGTGTAAGTCACAACAAATTGCCGTCAATGGCGCTAGCAGAACATTTTATTACAAACGACTATAATTTCGACAAGCATTTTAAGATTCTAAAAAAATATTCAAAATCTACTGACCTTGCGTCCTTGAAATCACAGGAAGATATTTACTTATAAAAATTACAAGCTTCCCGCTCCGGGGGAATGACCATAATGACAGGAGAGTTTCGTAAGTTTTATACTAAACTGGTTGATTAATTCCACTTAGTAACTACTGAACTAACCAATAATTCTTAGATGAGTACCATCATCATCATATTACGCACATGTCATTCACGCTGGCCGCGCTTTATTCATTTTGATGCGTGATTACCATTACATCCGTTTTCTCAAGAGAAGGCGATGTTTGTATGAAGATTTACAATTTTTTTGTAGTTTCGTATACTATTGGAGGGGTGTAATTTCAACTCGATCTGCTTCTTCCTGCGAACCACTGCTCTGTGGAACCGACTTCCAAGAGGATGCGTCCACTACAAGCTTAACATGTTTAAGTCTAGGATTAACCATTATCTTCCCTATATACGCTCATAAACTGAATCAGTAGTGTATAAGCAATGTAAAGAAAATATAAACACAGTACATGTTTAGTATCGCTTAACATCAGAATATATGCAAAGAGAATTCATATAGTTAGTATGTTCACTTAATTCAATGCTTCTCAAACAGTTCGGTGCGTCTCATCGCTGCGGCGCAAGAGGATATCGGTGGAATTTGTTGAAAGACATTTAAAGATTTAGAAGCAGTTTAAAAAATTAATATGCCAAAAATAAATATGATTTCAAAATATAAAATATAGGGTTTCACTTAATTAAACAAAGGACAGCTTTTTAACAAAAGTAAACTTAAATGGACAAAGCTTTTCGCAGGAAATGTACTTTGGTTGTTAATACAATCTTTTTGAATTCCTGGGAAGATGGTACACCAAGGATTTTATTGATTTCTTTATGGGTTCCTTTTCTTGTCAGACCCAACGCTCCAATTACAAGAAGAGTTTTACTCTTTAAATACCATAATATTCCAGTATTCATCTCTAAGTCTATTTGCTTATTTTTTTTTTTTCAAAAGACTTCGCAGAGGTGTTTTAGTTACTTTGTACGTTCATCAAGATATCTTTAAACTAATGTTTTTTTATGTTTATTTTTTGCAAAATAGAAACACCTTATCATTTCTTTCTTTGTGTAATTTATTTTTCGTTTTCTTTTAACTTATGGTGATGATAGATCTGGAGGGATAGAATTACGGGTGATCTAGTTGTGGTAACCTGTCAGACATGTTTGTGGAGTGGGGGTGAGAATTGGATCCAGTAACCAATTTTTCAACA